TTATCTCGGATGTCTTGACTAGTTGATTTATGTTAAAATTGGAAAAGATTGGTGTAACATTGAGTTGTTATTTTATTGATGTACTTGTTATTTTATTGTCGTTAGAGATGTCCATGAGATAGGGATAGGGATTGGATTCTCTAGAGTCAATTTTTTTTCTTTTTATATATTTTTATAATTTGAAAGAATTTTTAATGAATAATTTTTATCTTCGATATAATTTCTATTAAAAAATGTAAAACATCATAATAATATTTGATAAGTAAAACTATAGTAATAATGTTCATTATTTTTCATCTTTTAGTATTCCGCACTTAAATATATAAATAAATAAATATATGAAGTGAGTGGAGGGCGTAGATTTGGCAAAGTCAGTGACGGGGATGAGGTCCCTGTCTCCATTTAGCTAACGAGAAAAAAAAAATTCCAATTAAACAATAATTTTGCACGTCGTTTGAAGTAGATCCTACAGACTAATCAATAAGTGACGTTGCATCTTATTTTAATTGTAAAAAAAAAAAACTTTTTAACGAATTTCAAAATTTAAGAGTAAAAATAAAATTTCTTAATAAGAATCGAAATCTATCCGAATAATATGAGTATAATTTCTATAATTTAACCTATGTTCTTAATACGTAACAAAACAATGATAAAAAAAATTATTAAATAAAAACAAAGTTTAACGACGTATTAGTTTTTATTATATTTTTTAAATAAAATTTAAGGTAAAATTAATTATATAAGTATAATCATTTTCTATTCACAGAAATATTCTATACTCATCGTCTTTCTTTAATATATTTATTTACAGTTTCGTGTATGTAATGCTTGCTCCCTTCATTTTCCGGAAAAATAAAGGGATTTTGGTATATATATATATATATATTATATAACTTCATCAACTAACGGTCAAATCGGATTTCAAAACAAGTCTTCAATCTGAATAATTGATTTGAATTTTGGTAAAGAAAAAAAATCCGACCGTTGAGCTTAGACCTCTTATAAGACGCTCCCTTCATTTTTCCGGAAAATAAAGGAATTTTGGTATATATATATCATATAACCTTTTCATCAACCAACGGTCAAATCGGATTTCAAAACAAGTCTTCAATCTGAATAATTGATTTTAATTTTGAAAAGAAAAGAAAAAAAAAAGATCCGACCGTTGAGCTTCACCTCTCCATAAAAGGGACCCTCTTCATTACAGAGTTTTTACAATACGCCTGAAGCCCTCCCCTGCTCTCTGCTCTGCTCCAGTTCCCATATCTCCGATGGCTTCCACTGCTGAAATTCCGAAGACAAAGAAACCCAGGAACAGCCGGAAGGCTCTGAAGGACAAAAACTCTACACCGGAGGAGCCACAATCTGAATCCTCCATGGTTACGAAAGTGACACAGCCATCGGAAGAGGAGATCCTCCTATCTCAGAATCAATCTTCGGCTAAGAAACCGAAATCCAAAGCTGCGCCGAAGAAGCAGCCGGCGAAGCAGTCCTTCGACAAAGAGTTGCAGGAAATGCAGGACATGCTTCAACAGTTGAGGCTCGATAAGGAGAAGACTGAGGAGCTTTTGAAAGCCAAAGATGAGATGCTTAAGCAGAAGGATGAAGAACTTAAGACGAGAGATATGGAGCAGGAAAAGCTCCAGATCGAATTGAAGAAGTTGCAGAAGTTGAAGGAGTTCAAACCTACTATGGTTCGTTTCTTAATCTCTTGTGTCTCTCTAGGTTTTGGTTTCTAATTGCTTACTGAGAAGAACTAAACAAGAAATGTTAGTTAATCCGAGATGGATCGTCGGATCTCTTTAGGTTTTAGTTTCTAATTGTTGAAATTTTTTCTTCTGAATCAGAACTTCCCTATGATTCAAATTTTGAAAGATAAGGAACAAGAGAAGAAAGAGAAGAAGAAGTGCTCGGAAAACAAGAGGCCATCTCCACCTTACATCTTATGGTGCAAAGATCAATGGAACGAGGTAGATATAAACTGCTGATAATTCATGGTTATAATACCTGTTACCTGTCAATTGCTCTTGAATTTCATGTTTACGGATTTTGTCCTCTAATTCAGATCAAGAAGGAGAATCCAGAGGCAGAGTTCAAGGAGATCTCAAACATTTTGGGGGCAAAGTGGAAGAATGTCACTGCAGATGAGAAGAAGCCATATGAGGAGAGGTATCAGGCTGAAAAACAAGCCTATTTGCAAATCACTTCTAAAGAGAAGCGTGAGAGTGAGGCGATGAAGCTGTTAGAAGAGGAGCAGAAGCAGAAGACAGCCATGGAGCTGCTTGATCAATACCTTCAATTCAAAGGGGAGGCTGAGAAAGAGAACAAGAAGAAGAAGTAAGAACCACTTTCACTCTATCTTCACACTATGTTAATTTTCAAGTGCCTTACAGATGTTTGATAAAATCCCCCTTAGGAAAGAGAAGGATCCATTGAAGCCCAAGCATCCCATGTCTGCATTCTTTCTCTTTTCAAATGAGAGGCGTGCATCCCTTCTTGCCGAAAACAAGAATGTTCTAGAGGTAGCGAAGATAACAGGTGAGGAGTGGAAGAACATGACAGAGAAACAGAGAGGTCCTTACGAAGAGGTTAGCACACTTGCCAAAAACAGATTTCTTCTTCATATTTTCATCCAAGATCGATATTATTAACTCCTGAGAATTTGCAGATGGCGAGGAAGAACAAGGAAAAATACATGCAGGAAATGGAAATATACAAGCAGCAAAAGGAGGAGGAAGCAGCAATCCTCAAGAAGGAAGAGGAAGAACAAATGAAGCTTCATAAACATGAAGCTCTGCTGTTGCTAAAGAAGAAAGAGAAAACCGAGACTATTATAAAGGTAGAAGAAGGTGATTTTTAAATTTTTTTGTTATAATATCCCTGGATTAGCCATTGACATGAGTTTCTGAATGTGTGATGGCAAACAAAAAACAGAAAACAAAAGAGGAGCGGCAGAAGAAGAAGAAGGAAGGGAAGAAGAGTGTTGATCCTAACAAGCCTAAGAAGCCTGCATCCTCTTACATCCTGTTCAGGTTGAAAAAAATAAATCAACCCCTCTCTAAATTGCTGCATTTGAAGAGGTTTATATGCATATACTGAACTGGTTTCTTGTATGAACTGCAGCAAAGAAGCTAGGAAAAGTGTAATGGAGGAGAGGCCAGGAGCCAACAATTCCACAGTGAATGCACTGATTTCAGTGAAATGGAAGGTTTGGACTTTAATGATTCAAATATTTTTGTTGTTTTATAAACATTTTGTTTAGATTCAAATATTTCTGTTCTTCTGATTTGGTTTGGGGATTATCCAATTTTTTTTTTTTGTTGTTTTTAAAAACATTTTGGAATTTTGGGTGTGCTGAGAAATGGTCCGTTCTTCTGATTTGGATGATTCAAATCTTTTTTTGTTTTTAAAACATTTTGGAATTCTTCTTCTGATTTAAATCTTTTGTTGTTTTGGTTAAGAATGAGAAATAAATTACTATCGAAGTAAACATACACTCTCTCTCAAAGTCAGGTAGACAAGTTGAGTGTTATTGATTTACACTCCCTATTTTCACGGCTAGAAAGACAAGTGTTACTTTATTCTCAAAGACAACTGGGATGTTATTGACTCTAAACAAGTTGGATGTAAATTAACATACAATCTCCAACTTGAGGGCGGATGTTTTATTTTATGGAATATATTTAGGTATTATATCCTAATATTTTATTTTATGATTTAATTTATAGTATATTTTATTTTATTCTCTATATTTAATTAGTTTTTTTTTTAATTATTGGCAGATATTTGTTGTTAGCTTGTATCATATTTAAAATTTATAATATCAAATTCTCATTCTTAACGGTATATTAATGGACTGTGTTTCTGATTTGGTTGGGGTGAACAGGAACTAAGTGAAAGGGAGAGGAAGATGTGGAATGATAAAGCTGCAGAAGCCATGGATGCTTACAGAAAGGAATTGGAGGAATACAACAAAACTGTAGGTGAAAGGAAGGGCTGAGGGAATCTGATTGGTTCGGTTCTTCACGGTTCAAATGTTGTTTGAACAGTGTCAGTTCCTGACAATGACTTGTTTTGATTAGTTGCTGCTAATCTTGTCTTCCTTCTCTAATTAGTTGGTCAGATTATTTTATTTTATTTGATGCTGATGATTTCTCGAACTCTTTCACTCATGTAAGTTGTGTATGTTGAACACAATTTTAATGTTTAACACTCGCTCACACACACTCTTCCGCCGATCTTAGGAATGTATGTTGGAACACAATTCTTAGTGGTAAACACTCGCACACACTACGTAGAAATTATTCCATTCGAATTCTTGGAATGAAATTAGTGTCTAGAGTATTTATATTAGAGTCTATCATTTATTATTAAATTATTTTATCAAGTATTTTCATTCTTAAAATATCTAATTTATTACTAATATATTTTTTAATTTCTATGTATTTTTAAAAAAATATTTAAATCATTATTTTAAAATATAAAAATTGCACTCGTAATTTTTTTAAAATCCATTAAAAAAATATGTAAAAAATCATGTTCCAGCGTCATCTAGACAAGACCACATTCCTAGCTCAACTCAACATTTAATTGTATCTTGAATGGAGGATGTGCCGGTGGATAAACAATTAGAGCTTTTATTATAAAAAATAAGTTGTTATTTTATTGACAAAAAAATTTTTAAACAACAAAATTATATATTTTTTTATTGCCAAAATATTTCAAAACTAAAAAATATGTTAAAACTGTGATTTTTAATATTTAGAAATCAAGTTAGAATATAGTTTTTTTTTTATAGTAAAAAGCTTGAATTTAATTATGTTATATTTTTTCTAAAAGATACATAAATAATTTAATGAAAGATTAAATTATGATAAAATAAATTAGTTGCTGCCATTCTTATCAACCCAAAACAATAATATTAAATAAATAAATAGATAATTTTTTTAAAGCAAACAAGGCACATCGTTATTATGAAATTGTTTTGACTTAATTTCATCTTTAAATATCATTCGCCGGAACTTCTCAATATCAGTTTCGCCTCCCTCTCCGTACCGGCCTTGGATTCCACCACCGCCCGCCGACAGCGACAACTACGATGGGGATTCAGCTTCCGGTCACCGAAGACCGAATCTCCGACGCCGGAGCATCATTCGTCCTCCAATCCAAAGGTAACGCAAACAAGAAGAAGAAGTAGAATAATATTAAGAAGAGAGGTTTTGCGATGTTTTGCGATCGTCTCTGTTTACAAAATTTCGATTCTCTGGAACAATCGAGAACAACAACGGAGTTTTATTTTGAGTCGTTGATTTTTGTTTCCTTGGATTGACGAATGAAAACAGGGGAATGGTGGCATGCGGGATTCCATTTGACGACGGCGATTGTCGGACCGACGATTCTAACGCTGCCGTACGCGTTCAGAGGATTAGGTTGGGGATTAGGGTTTTTCTGCTTGACGATTATGGCAGTTGTGACTTTCTACTCGTATTTCCTCATGTCGAAGGTTCTCGATCACTGCGAGAAGGCCGGTCGCCGTCACATCCGATTCCGGGAACTCGCCGCCGACGTATTAGGTATCGATTCTAAGAATATCGCTTTCAATTTTCTGCCTCGAAATTCTCTGTTCTAAAAAACGTATAATACTTCAAAACTCGTAATAATTTGTTTTTATATAATTCTCATTTTATAATATTTTAATTAAAAGACTTTTAAATATATGTCATACTTTTATCTATTTACATTAAAAAATTTCTAATATAGCCAAATGGATCAACCATTGAGATCTTCTGCTTTTAATCCACGCGGAGATGCATAGACCATAAGTTAAGCCTTTTAAGCCTTGAGAGACGTATGAGTATCACAAATTTGTCAGTTTCTTATAGCGCCGCGCCCCCACAGACCAAAATTGTTCCACCATACCTACTATTTATTCATCTCTGTCTCCCTATAAATGGGTCGTATTTTGGATCTTGATTTTGAACTTTGAACAGGATCTGGATGGATGTTTTACTTCGTAATATTCATCCAAACCGCGATCAATACTGGAGTTGGAATTGGAGCAATCTTGCTCTCCGGGCAGTGCCTTCAGGTGTCTCCTAACTTTATTCTTTTTGCAGCTCTTTCTGTTGTTTAATTCCCGTTTTTATGCTGTGTGGTTGATGTATAGATACACTCTTAACTACTTACTGCTGCTGATATTAGTGTGAAATGTTGACCCAATAAAAGCATGTGAAAGTTTTGTTCATCTTCTTTTTCTCTTCACTTTTGTGTCGTAGTTGTCTATTTATTAGGTGGGTGGTGGCTTTCTTTTTCTTGTCGGCCTTCAAATTCGTTCAGACTTGTCAAAAGTTTTTCACACTTGTTAATTGTTACGTTTTGAACATTCTCTTGACTTATATACTTGTAATCGCCCAAATCTATCGTTAGCACCAGATATTGTCTTCTTTAGCTTTGGTTTTTCCTTTCTGGCTTTCTTCAAGGTTTTTAAAACACTTCTGGTAGGAAAAGGTTTTCACACTATAAAGGGTGTTTCGTTCTCCTCTCCAACCAATGTGGGATCTCACAATCCGCATCCAAAAGGGTGTGTTTCGTTCTTCCCCATCGATGTGGGATCTCACAATCCACCTCCTTCAGGGTCTAGCATTCTCATTCCTTTCTCCAATCGATTTGGGACCACCACCAAATCCATCCCCCTTTGGGGCCAACGTCCTTACTAGCACATCGCCTCGTGTCTACCACCCCCTTTGAGGAACAGCCTTGTGATGTCCCACATTGGCTGGGGAGGAGAACAAATCACCCTTTATAAGGCTGTGGAAACCTTCCCCTAGCAGACGCGTTTTAAAGCCTTGAGGGAAGCCCAAAGAGGACAATATCTGCTAGCGGTGGATCTGGGTCGTTACAAGCCTCCTCGCTGGCACATCGCCCAGGCTTTAATATCATTTGTAATAGCTCAAGTCCACCGCTAGCAGATATTGTCCTCTTTTGGCTTTTCCTTTCGGGTTTTCCCTCAAAAAACACGTCTGCTAGGGAAAGGTTTCGACACCCTTATAAAGAGTGTTTCGTTCTCCTCCCCAATCGATGTGGGATCTCACCATACAGGTCAAATTGAAATAATTGTGAGAGTTTAGGAGCTCGTTTGAACGTTTAAGACTGGATTTAATATGAACTTGAATGTGTGGACAACATGTTTGTAGGGTCACTTTTCTTTTCTTGTTTTCTGCTGAAATGTGAAAGAAGAAAGGAAAGATTGATATGGTTCTTGTTTACCGTTGGGGATGACATACAGATAATATATTCAAACCTTTACCCAAATGGATCCATGAAACTGTACGAGTTCATAGCAATAGTAACAGGAGTGATGATCATTCTGTCTCAGCTTCCAACCTTCCACTCTCTTAGACATGTCAGTCTGGCTTCTCTGCTTCTCAGCTTGGGCTACGCATTTCTTATTATTGCTGCTTGTATCATTGCAGGTACTATTTATTACCATTGCTTTAATACCCCACGAGTTTTGAAATTTGATGTCCATGGTTGTTTTTTTCTTCTTCTTTTGTGTTATTGAAGCAATGAGCAAAGAAGCTCCAGAAAGGGAGTATAGCTTAGAATCATCACCAAAATCAAGGGTCTTCAGCGCCTTCACTTCCATCTCCATTTTAGCAGCCATTTTTGGGAACGGAATCCTTCCTGAAATCCAAGTAAAATACTAATCAACGCAACTTCGTTTAAATAAGATTAGTTAACAACGATCATAATATTCTATATAGTTATAATGATATCACGTATATCTTCAAATTTGTACACATAAGTTATGAAGACATTAGAAATGTTGCACGTTAGAAATCACAACTCTCCGCAATGGTATGATATTGTCCACTTTGAGCATAAGCTCTCATGGCTTTGCTTTAGGCTTCCCCAAAAGGCCTCATACCAATAGAGATAGTATTCCTCACTTATAAACCCAGGATCTTTCTCACTCCAAGTAATCATCAACAGTCCACCCCTCGAACAAAGTACACCTTTTGTTCGACACTTTAGTCACTTTTAACTACACTTTCGAGGCTCACAATTCTCTGTTCGATATTTGAGAATTCCATTGACATGGTTAAGTTTAGGGCATGACTCTGATACCATGTTAGAAATCACAACTCTCCACAATGGTATGATATTGTCCATTTTTAGCATAAGTTCTCGTAGCTTTGCTTTGGGCTTCCCCAAAAGGTCTCATACTAATAGAGATAGTATTCCTCACTTATAAACTCATGATCTTCCACTAAATTAACAAATGTGGGACTCACTCCCAATAATCATCAACAGCAATGAGCATGTTCAAATCCCTATATTTGTGAACAGGCAACTCTAGCAGCTCCAGCGAGTGGGAAGATGGTGAAAGGGCTTTTGATGTGTTACTGTGTGATATTTGTAACTTTCTACGCCATTGCAGCATCTGGATATTGGGTGTTTGGAAACAGGGCAAGCTCCAATATTCTGCTGAGCCTGACGCCGGACACTGGACCTCCATTGGCTCCCGCTTGGATTCTTGGGCTCGCTGTCATCTTTGTTCTTCTTCAACTCCTCGCCATTGGACTGGTCAGTGCTCACCTCTCATAATTGCTGCTTATGTTTAACTATGAATGATACATGGACAGTGGTGGAAAACGGGCAGGTGTATTCACAAGTGGCATACGAAATAATGGAGAAGCAATCAGCTGACACGAAGAAAGGAATGTTTTCCAAAAGGAACCTTATTCCAAGGCTCATTCTTCGCTCAATATACATGATCATCTGTGGCTTTTTTGCTGCTATGCTTCCATTCTTTGGTGACATTAGTGCCGTGGTGGGTGCTATTTGCTTCATTCCTCTTGATTTCATTCTACCAATGCTTCTCTATAACATCACCCACAATCCTCCCAAATCCTCCCTCACCTATTCTATCAACCTCGCCATTATTGTCGTATTCACCGGGGTTGGACTCTTGGGTTCGTTCTCTTCTATACGAAAGCTCGTTCTTGATACTTCCAAGTTCAAGCTCTTCAGTAATGATGTTGTCGATTGATCTAAAAAATCCCTCTAAATTTTGTATCCAATTTAAAAATACTCTTAAAATTTCTTAAAGGTAAGAATGTCAAAAAAGAATGAAAAATATTTGACGGCATACTTACCTACACGTACTTACACATGAGAAACGGGAAAAAAATGACAAAAAAATCGCGGAAAATGGAAAAGAAAATATCATTTAAAGGTAAAATAAATATAACTCCGAAATCTTTATACACTTAATAATTAGATCTCCACCCTCTATTGTTGAACTAAAAAAATAGTAGCACATTCAAATCTTTTCTTTTTGTGTCTAGGTGATAAGATAAGGAATCACTGCAAGGGGAATAAGATTTGGATTAGCTTGCTGATCGAATATCTCAAGGTAAGAACATTGTTTGAGATTCGAATTACTCCACAAGCAAGATCGATCATGTCTAGCTTGAATGATTCTTGTTGATCAAATATCTCAAAGCAAAAACACTTGCTTGAGATTCGAATCACTCCACAAGCAAGATTGATCATGTCGAGTTTGAATGATTATACACACAACCTAAACTACATAAAATTGCAAAGAAACTTAGTCGTTGGCTAAAGAAAAGCACAAATGCTTCTTTTACTATATTTTTCAAGTCTGCTTTACAAATACATGTCTTTATATAGCTTCAAAATGAAACTATTAAAGGGATTTCAAGAGTTGTAACATTCATACTTAATGACCATAATTAGTGATTATGTAAATGTAATCTAAAGTAAATAAAATGTCTTAAAATACAATTACTCTAAATTGTAACCCACCTAAAATTTATAACAATCAAATTTCATTCTTCTTCAATGTGGCGTGAAGTGAAAATCTTTTGATAATTTTGACAATCTTTTCTTCACATCTTCATTGAAGTATATTGTATGATTGATGTCTTTTGGTTTGTATCCTACAAAATAAGATAAATATTGTATGATTGCAGGTAAGTTGACTTTTTGTTTTTGGGATATCTTTGAGTTGTCAATATGACCATAATTCAACTAATTAATCTAAACGAGTAAAAATGGGGGAAAACTCCAAATATATAAACAAAAAATTAAAACGATAATGTTGGGATTAAGATGAAGTAATTAATGTGTAAGATATGTAAGGGAAAAAATTGTATGGCTATTATGGCATGGGCGTGAACCATAATGAAAAGTGGCCTCTTCTTTAAACCATTCCCTTTCATACTATCAATGCCTCACTTATCCTCCCACACCCGAGCTCCGCTCCCCCTCCTTGCGTCTCCATGCCCATGTCCAAGCCTTCTTCCAACTTATCTCGCTCGCTTTCCAAAATACTCCGGTCGCTTTTTCGATCCAAACCTAACTCAAATAGCTCCATTTTTCTGACTCGAGATCAACCCAAAGATGGGTTTTATGTCTTCTATGAAGTCGGGTCGCTCTCGACCATCCCTGAAGTCCCCGAGGCCGACTTTGGAGCCGGTCTTTCGCCGGAGATTAGCTCTTTGGTGAAGAAGACGGCTTCTGAGGGGTTCATGCCTAACTCCCTCCGCATCTCATGTGCTTTGAATATTTGAATCTCTAGATTATATTTATTAGAGATTATTTGTGTAATAATTATGTTCCTATGTACTCTTTTTTTTCCTTCTTTTTTTTTCTTGTAATTTTTTTTTTAATGTTTAGGGATTATAATCATGCAGCTTAAGCTTGCATAAATTTGAATATCAATAGATGTTCGTTTATATTTTTTATTATTCAAATAAGAATTAATCGGGTGTTTTTTCTATTAAGAATATGTTAAAATTATTTTATTTTGATGACTAACAATTTATGTTTTAATTTTAATGAAATATAACTCTACGATAATCATCTTTGAATTAAAAAAAACTTATTTAATTTATATTATTTTTGATAATCGATGCAATATATATAGCCGTGTTTAATTTTCTAATAATTAGAGACTCAAATTTCTCCTTTAATATTATTTTTTAAAAAAATAAAAGAAAATTTCTCTCGCTCAAACAATAATTATTAAAAAAATTATTTAACATCGTTTCCCTATATTGCAATAAACATAAACGGTTTTATTATTTTTGGGAAGAAAATTACCTCTATAAATCATGAAAATATATTCACGTAAAATTAGTATTTCATTTGACTAAATTTGATAAAATTAATTTCAAATTTACAATAGAATATTAATTTTGATATTTATTAAAAAGATTAGATACTCAGTTTAGAAATTTATAAGTACAAAAATAAAAATGAAATTAGAATCATATTAACTCAATAGGAAAAAAAATATTTTTTCGAACTTTTAAAATTATCAATAATATCCTTAATTTTTTTAAAAAAAAATTCACCTTAATATCCTTAAAATTGAAAAAAAAAATTGATGAAATATAGATAGACGTTTCGTTCATATATTGACAATAAAAATTGTTTAAAACCTTTGTATAAGAGTGTTACATTTAAAATTTCAAGGGTACTCGTTAAGTATGGTACTAGAGATAAAAATAATTTTAATTTTTTTTTAATTTAAGGATAATTTTACAGTAAGAATTTTCATCTAAAATTAATTAAAATTTTTTTTTTATATTTATTAAAACTTTAAAAGTTTTCGGTAAGTTTAAAGGTTTTTTTTATTTTTGTCTTTATTTTATTTAAACAAATTCGTGAAATTGCCCTTTTTTTCTCCCAATATATATATATATATATATATAGATAAATCAGCGCGCAAAACCCTGAAATAAAAGGGCTAAAGATTTTGTAGCAAGTGAAGGCGCGAACAAGAAATTGAGAGTTGAGATGGTGAAGGCTATGGCTGGCGACTTTGGACGAAGGCGCGGTCTGTTCAGCTTGGAACTATGCCGCCAACAGATTAGCCACCGATTCGGTGGCCGGAACCCTCGTCATCTTCGATTCTCCTGGCCCTTCTTCCTCATCGGCGTCCTTAACTCGCACCTCAATCTTCAAGGTTTTTGAGTTTCATTTCTCTGTTTTTATTTCCGTTCAACTTCATCATCTTAGGTCGAATTAACGGTTTCTTAGAGATAAGCTTACTTTTTTGAACGGTTACTAGTCTACACTTCGAAACTCGGCGGCATTGTAAATTTTTGGAGATACATCAATTATGTTACCAATTTCCTGCCTCGATTATGTTTAGTATGTAAGCTGCGTGTTCGTCAGGCAAGAGAGAGAGGAAAATAAGAGAATGAGGAGTGAATTATTGGGGGTGAAGGAGTGAAATTGGGTTCATGACGGCTAAGAGGATAGAAGTGTGTTGATATGAGCATCGTTTCATGCTTTGCCGGAAATTGCGTCTTATTTTACCTTCTTACAAAGTAGAATAACTAATTCAAAGCTAGTAGAGGCAAAGCCGAGGGGAACATTCAAAGCCAACAAGGAAGTAGATGTCATCTCACTCAATCTACGAATATAAATAGTAACTTTCTTAGATTATAGAAAATGCACGATACACTACAAGGATATATTTTTCAATTACTATTATTGTTATGGAGCTTCCTAATTTTAAACAAGATGTGCAATGCTTAGTCTAATATTGATGCAATCAATTGGGATCAAAACTAATAAATGAACCAAAAATCAACCTGCTAATTATATTACTAATCACCCTGCCTCGCTAACATTTTAGAAAATGAAATCTGGGTAGAGAGAACCTTCCTTTCTTCTGTCTTAGTGTATGATTGGAAGCTATATTCTGTGGGATTTGTTATTCGCCAGGATGCAATTTTATTCTCATGCCTCCGTGGTTTAGTAGAAAAATCCTGGGGCATTAAATGGGAAATTTGAGTTGATCTGCTCTGAATCAAATGGAAAATCCCAATCCAGGATAGGGGATTTGGTAGCTGAACTGTTGGCTGAGAAAATCTCGTGAACATCAGGTTCTGGATGTTGTACATTATGAGCCCCTCCTACATCGCTCCTATGGCATGGCGATGGAATGAAGTAGTTCGAGTCAGCTGTGGCTGGGGATATAAATGGCTGAGTATAGCTTCCCAAGGTGCTGTGAGTATCGATGGCTAAATGTGAAAAGCCACCATTTACAATGTCCTTACATCCTGCAGAAGTTGAGCCGAAGCAGAAGGTAGATTCCTTGCTTTCGAGCTTTTCGATGTTCTCAATAGTTTGATTACTGAATAAGTTCTCTTGCGAAAGCTGCAGCTGATGATGGTCGTGGTCATTTTCCTTCTTTTCTTGTATTTTTGGTGAATGACATGATTGGGCTAAATAGTTTCCTTGGGAACAAGTGTGCTTTCCTCGATAGGTAATGTCAAACACAGAATGATCTTCATCTGATCTCTGCACTTGCTTTATTGCCCAACAATTCTGTGTATTGCGGAAAGTGCATCTATAGTAGCTTCTGCAAGTACACAACAAACAGGTATTAGATTTATTGATGTGAAACAGTAATAAGATTATAATTATAGGTCTACAATATATTTTGATATGGAAAATTGGATTCTTGTATTTTATTTGGTTTGGGTTCATGATAATTTTTTCTTTGTTTCTTTTCAGTTAGCTTTAAAGAAAGTGGACTTTAACTTTGAATTTTTAGCCGCCGACGTTTCCTCCTTTTTTATGTCAAATTCCTTGTAGTTTCTTCTGGTTTTCCTTCATTGGGCCAATAGCATTCCTCCATTACAAGAACATCAAAATTTAAGATCTCCCCTCCCCCTAGCATGTTTGTATATATACTGAAGCAATGATATTTGTTTAAAATATTACTGTGGGGTATTAAAATATATGTTACCGTGTATGCCTTGCGTGTTTTTCGAGCAGGAAGGAGAAGTCATCTCACCTGGGAAATGTTGCACCAAGTATGTCCTTTTGGCCATATTTTCTCCAGCTATAACCATCCTCATGGGGTCCTTCGAATCCCGTCTCGGAGTTCACTTTCACTTGTTCTGTCCATCTGGGCTGTGTCTTTCTGTAATCACAGAATCATAAAGATTTTTTTATTTGTTTCCAAGAATTGAACTTGTTTACTAACTAAGCTCATATTTGTTCTAAGGTTGACTTTGAAAAGCTGGAAAGAAAATTCTTAAATTCACCTCTTCATTGATTCTTTTCTGGGGTCCTGAGGGTCCTTGAGGCCTTTACCAGAGTCATCACTAGAAAGACTTCCATTAACAGAAATTGGAGAGCCTGGCAAAGCAAAAGCTGCTTCTACCATTTGAGGTTGACTCATTGGTCCATTCCATTTCAGTATCGAAAGAGCCTTATCATATGAAGATATAATCCCATGTACTAATGATCCTCTGCTTTCTTCTGCAGATGCTGAACTCAACTCTGCTTTCAACTGCTTGGTAAGCTCCATCCCCTGAATTAGCTCACCAATGAGTGACTTTTGATCCCAGCTCCACCCACTTTCCATTTTCAATTCCTCTCAGTTTTCGTAAAACGAACTGAACCACCCTACCCTACCACTGTGCTAGTTCATGGTAGGAAGAACAAGAGCTCAGTGCATTTCAGTTCGGATTTGTAGGTAAGTCAAGAAGCAGAAGCTAGAGGAAATGGAAGACCCAAATGGTAAAGAATCAGAGACAACAAACATGGAAGTAGCCAGATGAGGTAATTTGGTTAACTGGGTATATTTGTGTTTATTTAAAACTGAACTGAGAGAGAAGAAGAAGAAGAATGCTTTGGTTTTAATAAGAACCGATCTTGGTTTTATACAAGTTCAAAAAGGAAGACAACTTTATTTCATTTTTCTTAAAAGAAAATGCTGTTGAACAGTTAGAAGTTGGGGAAACTTTGACTGAGACAGCCCCCTCAGTTGCTTTCTGGTCTTTGGTCATTGGCTGAGTGGAGTAAGATTAGTGTGGAAGTCCAGGTTCTAAAGCTGACCAAGTCCACTTCCACTTCATAATTTAACTTCCAAAAGGGTTTCTGTTTCTCTCTCTAGATCCTACGGCTGTGATTTGTTGAGAATGAAAATTTCATAATTGAGATAGTGAGACAAGTGGAAAGTCAGAGTTCAAGCTTGGAGAGTAGACTAAGAATTTTCAAACCTTTCGTCCGCGTTGTGGTATAGTAAACAACTACTTTTCATCTTTATTATTATTATTATTATTTTCTCTTTTTTTTTTAAATCTCTAAGGCTTATGATTGTGAGTGGACTGCTCTTTTCATGCTATTTTTTTGTTCTCTTGCTGATTTTTCCTTAATCCTACTTGGTTTAAATCTTAGAGCTTAGTATTAGAAAAGCTTGGTCAAAATTAATGATTTCTGTGGGCATATTTGTTTTACTAAATTTTGTAATTTGGTCATTCTGGTTGGGCTTGATTATTTTTATCTGATATGACGTCATAATAGTAAGGTGATGTGATGTGATGTAATTGAAATTGCTACATTAAATTTCATTCTTGACCTTTCAGCCAATTTCATATTTAATTTTTAGTTAGTATCTTTTTGGTTAATCACATATTTAATTTATGTGTCGGGTTCTTTATCTTATGTATTCTTGACACGAGGGATGAAATTTTTATTCTCAGGTAAATTGGCTTGTTGATCCTGTACGTCGGATCAAAGTCAGGCATTTAAAGAAATTTTGGTCCTTAAAAGACTTTATGTCTTTAAATTTTATAATATTCAAATCGCTTTCCTTTCAAAAAGTCTTCAGCCTTTTGATCTTTGCAAGTCTTCACAATGCTTTTAAATGTGTTTGTGTGAGCTTTGGGTTCTATTATTTGGATTTGGAACACTGAACTCGAATTCAAATATTATGACTCAATTTGACTAAACTAGGCTTATTTTTTATTATATGGTCATTATGAACATTATAAAAGCTTCAATTTGTAATTAATTTAAATTCAATATTTTTTTAATTTCTTCAGACAGTTGAGAAATAATTTACGAAGATTCCTATCTTATTGTCTTTTCATTGTTGTTCACCCACCAACCAATTTCCAACATTGAAATGATCAAAACTTGTTACTTTATTTAAATTTCAAAAAATAACTCTTCATAGTAGAGATTAATCACAATTTAAATGGTAATTGCCTGATAAAGGGCGAGATTAGATTATGGTAGACATTGCACGTTTACCAACTAAGATTAAATCTCTTAGTTGTTAGTCGTTGCGACGCTTCTATAAGTTAAGGTAAACTTGTCGAGCATTAATAGTAAAAAACTTTGAAAAAATGTCTTAAATTTTCTTTGTTGTATCATTCAATTTAATTTAATTGTACTAATTAACCAATTAATTCTTTTTTAAAAAAATAATATAAAATATTGATAAACTCATTAATTTTAATAAAAGAAAGTAATAATTTTCACCGATGATGCATGTATTAACTAATGTATAATTTTGTTAAAATTCATAAAGTTTCATAAATAAAAAAATTATCTCTAATATCATTGTTTTAACATTTCTCAATTTCAAATTATAAATATGTTTCATAGTTCATTAAACGGGTAAGAAATTTTTTTATAATGATAATTAGAGTGGAAAATCATTCCAAGGGTTAAAATTGTAAACTAATCTACTTTTAAAGTGTAACGTAACAAAATAAATCGGTAATTTTGGAGATCCAAATGATTTTTTTTCCCCCTAAAAAGTTATTTATTAGAAAATGTAATAAGCTTAAATTGTAATATAAAATTTACTTTAAAAATTATAATATAAATCTCATAAGGTTAGGTAAAGTATCAAATAAAAGAGAGTGAAATGGAGCGTGCATAAAAAGTGGTCAAAATAGAAAATTATTTATTTAATAATCGGCCTTAGGCTTCCTTAGGGCCACGTGTAAAGGGACGAGCAAAGTGAACGGCCTATTCAGAGTTAAAAATTTATGGACCATAAAAGAAGCCCATAAATGTAGTGAACGGCCCATTAAGGATTCAAAACTTATGGACCATAAGAGAAGCCCATAATCTAATAGCCGAGCAAAGTGAACGGCCCATTAAGTGTTCAAAAATTCTGGGCCATAAGAGAAGCCCATAATCTAATAGCCGAGCAAAGTGAACGGCCCATTAAGTGTTCAAAAATTCTGGGCCATAAGAGAAGCCCATAATCTAATAGCCGAGCAAAGTGAACGGCCCATTAAGTGTTCAAAAATTCTGGGCCATAAGAGAAACCCATAATCTAATAGCCGAGCAAAGTGAACGACCCATTAAGTGTTCAAAAATTCTGGGCCATAAGAGATGCCCATAAATCTAGTGGCCGAGCAAAGTGAACGACCCATTAAGAGCAAAAATTATGGACCGTAATAGAAGCCCATAAATGAAGTGACCAGCCCATTAAGAGAAAATTATGGACCATAATAGAAGCCCATAAATCTAATAGCCGAGAAAAGTAAACGGCCCATTAAGAGTTCAAAAATTATGGACCATAATAGAAGCCCATAAATGAAGTGACCGGCCCATTTAGAGAAAATTATGGACCATAAGAGAAGCCCATAAATATAATGGCCCTCTATAAACAAATTAGCTCAGTATTTTCTTTTAGCCGAGTATAATAGTGATGAAAAGACGAAGATACCCCTTTAAGAACATTTTAGTGGGGTTTGAGGCAAAGGTTAGGCTGCAATAAAAATTAACCTTTTATTTCCATTGTTTTATTCAACTTCTTTTCAAAATATATTTAAATAAAACTTAATACAAAAAGATACAAAAATCATATGATATTTATATAATTTTATTTTTTAAAAAATTTACTCATTATTAATTATATATATATATATATATTCTAGTAATTTTGATCCTCCTGTTAAAGTAATAAATAGTACCGAACATAATAAAATTACTATCAAGGATGAAAAAAAAATGAACATATAAAACGCTTTAAACAATACATTTAAGGATTTAATTCAATTCAATCCAATCTTATTCCTAGAGTATCTCATAATTTGTTTATATATTCAATAATAAGTTATGTTCTCGTAGATCCAAAAGAACAAGGATTAGATTTGAAATGCAGAATATGAAATGAAGAATATTTGCTGGAGAGAGGTTTTCACATCCTTTCAAAGAATGTTTCGTTCTCCTTCACAACAAACCTGGGATCTCACAATCTACTACTTTTTAGAGCCCAACGTTTTCACCGACACTCATTCCCCTCTTCAATCGATGTGGTATCTCACAATCCACCTTCCTTCTGGGCCTAGCGTCCTCGCTAACACTCTTTCCTCTCTCCCATCGATACGTGACTTCACATATCTTTCCCTAATGAATGGTATCAAAATAAAATTGATGGGTTGATGAAAAGTTACTCAAACACCTTACTCTGAGGGCCAATACACATTTGTTTTCCATGCATGTGATGAACAGAAGTGGACATGACCCACAAACGCCAGACCTTTTTTTATTCTTTTACGCTTCCTTGGATTTTTCTTCAAAACTATATGATCTGTATAAGCTTTGATTTAGTACACTAATCCAACAAAAAAACTATATAATAAATGTAATTATTTGATTAATGCATTCCCAACACAACATCAACTCAACTCAAACATACAATACTCAATTTAGAAAATTACTTAATTCCCTTAACTTGCTGTTGCATTAATCGGCGGCGCCGCCTGATCTTGATTCTTCTCCACCACCCTCACTCCCTCCGCAGATCTAAGCACATACGCCTGCACAAACCAAACCACTCATAGGAAAACTATTCCCGAAACTAATAGCTATCAAACGAGACCTTCAATACCTGTTCTTCGGTGATTTCGACCGAGAACCCGTCGACGATGAGGAAAGACGAAACCTTTCTGTAAGTTCCAGGCTCCAGACACCTCCCCAGAACCCCATCGTGCTTTCTACTCAGATACTCATCAAGCTCATGAGCCCCTTCCCCAGATCTTCAAACCAAAAAATAAAACAATCAGTTTCAAATTCAAACAACAAAACATTATTCATTCATACCCACCGATCAGCTCGTAGACGTTCATATTCAGGATCGTAGTTCATGAAAACGAAGTAACACGCGCCACCGCCGCCTCCGCCGCCGCCACCGTATCTGTTTTCCTGCATTGTGGCTTTCTTCTGGGTTTCCGGCGAAGATAGGGAAAATATGAAGCTATTTATGCGTGAATTGAATCATCGCCGGATAAATATATAAATCATAATTTAGTTTTCCAAATAATTATTTTTTTTTTCAATTTAAAATATATATTTCTTAACAAAAAAATAATAATAATAACAATGCTTATTTAACTAGGGTTAGTTAAGGCATCGAGCTCACAAAATATTTAAATAATTAAAAAAAGAAAAAAAATGGTTGAAATTTTGTAAAGGGTTTCTAGGGTTTCGTGTGTTCATGAATTTGGAATCTCTTAACCTAAATACATTCATTTTTTTATTTTTTTTAAGATGAAGGGTCAACCCTAATTAACCATTAATTAATTAAATTTGAAATAAAAACCCCACATTTTTCAAGATTGGGAATATTTCGATCTCTACGTTGGTTATTGCTATAATTTTAAGCATGGATATATTTTTCTTATTTATATTATTTTAAAAATAAAGTATTTATAAATACTAGAGAATTAAAAAAATAATTATTACTAAAAATTTAAAATCAAGTGATTATCGAATAAAATAATAATTATTAAATTTGAAATTCATATTTTATATCGACGTCTGAAATCATATGGTATTTTTCATAAATTTATGTAATATTATTTGAAATTCGTATTTATCTTATGAATAGAAAAGAACGTAACATGTAATAGTAAATGTACTAAAAATGTAGAAACATAAAAAGATTAAGAATTAAAATTATATATTTATATACTTAAAATGTAAATAACTATTATTTTTATAATGGAAAAAGAATTGTGAAAATATGTGTAAGAAAGAGGATGGAAACCAGGCTGTGTGTCAGAGCAGATTTCTGGCACAGTGAAAGTGGTCACCTGCATTAGAAATCTCCACGTGTCAATAAGAGAAGGGGACAAAGGTGGGGGACCCTGGAAATTAACATGGGCCTAACCACAGGGAATCTCTGACCAACACGAGAACTAAATGTTTTTCTTTGACTACTTTTGCTTATTATTCCCCCTCTGCAAAACTAACCTCCTCAAACTTTTTTATTTTTTTTTCTTTTATGCTTAAATTAT